GTAATAATAATGTAATTTCCTCATTCCAATCTGTAAAACTTGATACATTCGTGCATTGTAATAATAATGTAATTTCCTCATTCCAACCTGTAAAACTTGATACATTCGTGCATTGTAATAATAATATAATTTCCTCATTCCAACCTGTAAAACTTGACACATGTCATACTAAAGTGTGACACGATGCGGTGGAATCAGGTACTCGTCACTTTTAAAGCACTTGGAATTATTGATTTCTTCTTAAAGTTAAAGCTGTTTCACTTGTCTTGTTTTCATTGAAAAATTATCCATTTATTTTGGATTCAATTCGAGATATTCCCAAATGAAGGAGGCGGAGGTCACCTTGTTTCAGAGGTTACATTAGCGAGAAAAAGGCCGCCCGAGTTTGGTTATTTTCAGAGCCCGTGGAAACTGAAAACGTACATTTTTAGTGCTTTTAATCAATATTCTTCAGTAAATATTCACACAGAAATGTGTTCTAGAATGGACATTAAAATGTTCAGCTCCCCCCTCCCCAACTCCCAACCCCCCCCCCAACCGAGTTCCGCTTTATAAGCGTAAAATCAGAGGTTGAAGGACTTTACGTAAAACTGATTCAGACGCAATCTTTTTGGAAACTTGGTTAAATGTTATTATTGTCTTCTGGTTGAAAATGTGTTCACTAAAAAACCCCCAAAAAAAAAAAAATACAAAAAAAATACAAATATACAAATACAAATAAAAAATTAAATCGACAAAAATAGCCAAACTGGTGGAAATGACAATTCCTACAAATTTATTTTTTTGACGAGCGCCCGATTTCACCACGCTGCCTCGCATATGAGTTCTACACTCCAATCTGTAAAACTTGATACAATAATCTAGATTAGTGTGATTTCAACATCCCAACATCTAAAACTTGATACACAGCGTAGTAAGTGTGGTTTCTACAGTTCAAGTTGTCAAACTTGACACATCATGGCGTGGTGTGATTTCTACATCCCAAATTGTATAATTTGATACACAGCATAGGAGGATTTCTACTGCCAGACTTGTAAAAATGATACACAGCACACACATACACACTCACACGTACACACACACACACACACACACACACACACACACACGCACACACACACACACAAACACACACACACATCTACCAAGTTCCACCCGGGGTACACATTGTCCATCACTATATTATTATTATTATACATGAGGAGACACATACACATACACACACTCACACTCACACATACACAAACACATGGATATACACACACCC